TGTGCAATAGACCATGAATTTTTTTTAATCCAGAAATTCCGAAATAAAATAGGCAAAAAATTTCATGGACGTCTGTTAAGACATTAGAAATGGATGCGGGAAAAATGGTGCATTTTCAAATTCAAACGAGCCCCAAAGCAGGCAAAGTTAGATTTTTTTTATTTTCGTGTACTATAGCATATGGATACTTTTTGATCTAGAAATCCCAAAAATAAAATGGCCAAAATTTTTCTTGATGTCCGTTAAGACCTTAGATATGGATTTAGTTCTTTCCGCGGAAAAAAATGATGCATTTTTAAATTCAAACGAGCCTCAAAGCAGGCAAAGACAAATATTATTAATTTTCTTGTGCTATGGTCCATGAATTTTTATTTATTCGGAAATTCAGAAACAAAATGACTAAAATTTTCATGAATCTCCCTTGAGACATTGGCAATGTATCCATTTCGTCCCGTGGGCAAAACGAATACATTTTTAAGTTCAAACGAGCCCCAAAGCAGGTAAATGTAGATTTTATCGATTTTCGTGTGCTATTGCCCATTGAATTTTTGTGATCTTGAATTTCTGAAACGAAATGGCTGAAATTTTTCATGGACGTCTGTTAAGACGTTTGCAATGCATTTAGTTCGTTCCGCGTGGAAAACACGCGCCTTTTGAAGTTCAAACGAGTCCCAAAGTAGGTAAATGCAAATTTTGTTGATTTTAGTGTGCTATAGTCCATGAAATTTTTGTAATATAGAGTTCACGAAATGAAATGGCTGAAATTTTTCATGGACGTCCGTTAAGACGTTTGCAATGTGTCCAGTTCATCTCGCGGAGAAAACAGACGCATTTTCAAGTTCAAACGAGCCCCAAAGTAGGTAATCGCAGATTTTACCGATTTTTGTGTGCTATAGTCCATGAAATTTTGTTATCCGCAATTCCCAAAATGAAATGATCGAAAATTTTCATGGACCTCCGTTAAAACGTTGACAATGTATCTAATTCGTCCCACAGAAAAAATGAATGCATTTTCAAGTTCAAACAAGGTCCAAAGCAGATAAACGCTATTACGTCGATTTTCCTGTGCTATGACAAATATATAGTTCACTTCACTATTATCAATTTTATTTCTTTGACTAATTTCTTCTTCTTCTTCTTCTTCTTGATTTATTCAACAATTACGTCATGTTTTTATTTTCTTAACATGGGGCTTTTGGTTGATTGTGTCATAAATAAAGTTATCATCGCGTAATTTGTACGTCATGAATTTGTGTTATAAAAACAATTACAAATGATTATATTTCTGTGTACATCACATTTTTTAAAGTATGATTATCTTTTGAATTATATATAAATATAAAATATTTTATGCATCAGATCGTCATTTTAGTTTAAAAAAAGGGGGGGGGGGGGGGGGGGGGGGAAGAGTTAAAAGAGATTTGAGACATTGAAGATACTTCAAATGATAATATATGACTTTTTGGGCTCACAAAATTTTGTAGGTGACTCCATTTAATGACATATTGATGAAAAATAGTATTAAGTACCTATTAATAAGTCCATGAATATGACGTTCAATTATAAAAGAAAATGATTTTTCCTTATATTTTCAACTAAATTTCTAATCAATTATTACTCTTTAGATTCATATTTGTTACTATTTCCTTCTTTTTTTTAAACAAGTGATAAATAAGTGATAATTTATTTTCACTTTGTTTCAAAATAAGTTGTATTTCATACTATAATCAAGAAGAAAAAATTTGTTTCATTTAGAATTATCCTCATTTTAATACATGGAGTTTTTCATTATTAAAGAGTCACTTTTTTTTCCCAAGGCTTTAATTACAGGTTCCTCCATAATAACTTCAGGAAATAATAATATAGCCTAACAATGATTCATACCACAATTTTTAGCATTTAGGGCCGCTCAATAGAAATTAGGCGTTTTTCTCAATTTTTCATATGTATTATTATATGAATTTCTTAGTGATTTAAATTTTGGATACTTTTCTACAAAAAAAACTTTACATGAACCTCCATATGATCCAAGGAACAACATATATAGCCTCACCATGATTCACATCATTTTTTTGACATTTAATTTACTTAGTTTTCATATGTTAGTCCATAAATTTTTGGTGATATAGATATTAGACATTTTTTTTACAAAAACATTACAGGACACGATGTAATGACCTAGGGTACAATATATATACGCTCACCATTATACACACCACTTTTTTAACAATTATGGGCCACTCAAAAGGACTAAGACAATTATCTCAATTTTTCGTGTATGTTAGTATATGAAAATTTCAATAATATGTATTCAAATATTTATTTATTTTTTTGTAAAGCTTTACAAGATCCTCCATAATGATCTCGGGGAACATACCTATAGCCTAAATCAAGATTCATGCCACTTCTTAGCATTTAGGGGCCACTCAACATAAATTAGGTGATTTTTTAAGTTTTCATGTGTGTTAGTACATGATTTTCTTGGTGATATGAATTTCGAGCACTTGTTTTGTAAAAGCTTAACAAGACCCTCCAAAATGACTTGGGATAACGATACATATACCATCACCACGATTAAGCCACTTTTTAGCATCTATGGGGCACTCAAAATGAATTAAGTGATTTTCTCAATTTTAGATGCTTATTATAGTATATAAATTTTTTTTGGTGATATAAATTTCAGACACTTTTTTTCTGCAAAATCATTATTGGACCCTCGTATATACATGGGGATAATGCCTATAGCATCACCAGGATTCACACCAAATTTTAAGTATTTAGGGGATAGTCAACAGAAATTGGGTAATTTTTAAGTTTTTCGTGTGTGTTAGTACATAATTTTTTGGTGATGTGAAATTTTTTACACTTTTTACATGACCTTCCAAAATAAAATGGGGGAATCATATCTATAGCCTCACCATGATTAATGTCACCTTTTCAACAATTAAGGATCACTCGAATTTAGACGATTTTCTCAATTTTTCATGTGTTAATACATGAATTTTTTGATGATATAGATTTCAAACACTTTCGTCGCAAAAACTCTGTAAAGACCATGGGTAGCAATACTTATATTCTCACCATGATTTATACCACATTTTTAACATTTAGGGCCACTCAACATGAATTTTGCAATTTTCTAAATTTTTCGTTATGTGTTATTACATGAATTTTTTGGTGATATGAATTTCAAACACTTTTTTTATATATAAAATCTTGGCATGATCCTCCATAATGACTTGGGGAACAATACATACAGTCTTACCATGATTCACACCACTTTTTCAACATTAGTATCCACTCAACAAAAACTAAGTGATTTTTTCAATTTTAGTGTGCATTAGTATATGAATTTTTTGGTGATATGAATTTCAAAATTTTTTTTTTTAGAAACTTAAAAAAAACGTTTCTAATGATCTAGGAAAACAATACCTATATCCTCACCATGATTCACACTACTTTTTTATTTTTAGCATTTAGGGGCAATTCAATAGAAATAAGAGATTTTTCAGTTTTCCATGTGTGTTAACACATGAATTTTTCGATAAAGCTACATTTTATGCAAAAACATTACAAGACTTTTTTTTTACCCTTTTTTCCCATAATAGGACTTTAAAAATCTTAAGTATTTTTCGTGTGTATTAGTCTATAATTTTTAATCGATAAAAATTCAAGATTTTAAATATTTTTCTTGTGCGTTGGTCTATAGACTAGTGACCAATATTCATTGCATTTTCATTAATGACTGACTTTCTTTTACCTTTCTTTTAAAATAGGGAACTTTGTCTCTCTTTTTTTAGCATTTTGATGTCACCAAATAGAAATTCAAAATTTTAAATATTTTTTTGTGTATATTAGCTTGCTTATTTTCGATATTAGTTAACCAACACTGTTCGCAGAAACTCATGACTAAAAACAATCATTATGATTTGTGAAAAAAAAATGTATGTCAATTGGTAAGGTTTTATGACAAGAGACTATCTAGCTAAATTCGGAGAAAACAAGTTGGCATAATTTATCAATATGTTGGGGTGAAATTATTTTTGAACATGAAGATGGGGCAAGCTGGATTATGAAGAAAGAACTTGAAGATAAACATCAAACAACATTTATATCACATTGTACTGCTTTGTTTAATGGATTAAAAGTACCAAATAGTGACTTTCAAGCTCATGTAAGAAATTGCATAGACATAAGAATTTAATTTTGATATTGACCTAAGGTCACATTTTGATATTGGGCCCCTAAATGGTCCTTGAATAGTCATTGATATTAAACAAAGAGGATATGGTAGTTTTGTTTGATAAATACTAAATTGATGTCTACATTATACTCTAGTTGAATGGACATTTCATTTTCAAACCAACTGTTTGGCTTGAGGCTAGGGTGGTCCTATCTTATTATCAAGGAAATTACAAATAATAGTTATTTCTATCGATTTAACGTAAGTATCTTAGTTTTGACTAGACACAAAAATTTTAGAAATACAACTATTAGAGTCTTGGTGCACGAATCTTGTTATCTTAAACAAAGTCACATACGACATTGGATTTAGGAGTTGCGAAATATAAATAGAGAATATCTTAGTTTTGAATTGAAATAAGAGTAGATAGTTCTAAGTTTGCTACCCCCCCCCCCACCACCCCCTTTGGGTGCACACAGGGTCCTATGTTCTTAGGAAATCACTCGCAAACCATATAGGAGAGGTAATCCACCTAAACAAGCCCGTTGCAATGAGATCGACCCAGAAGGCAAACCCCTTCCTTTCACTGGCAAGGGATTTCGAACTTGAGACCTCCGACATGAAAGTCTCAAACCCATCACTGGGCCAACCAAAAGATTTTTAACAAAATAAGAACTAGTTGAGACACAGAATGATAGGGCGAGTGACCTCCCTAGAATGCGAAAATTGTCCAATGATCTCAACGCATGTTGTCCCTCTATTCAAATGGTGTGCAAGTATTGGTGAATTATCAGTTCAAGAACACAATATATACCGCTTATATAACATAATAAATTACTATTTCAACGATGTTGATGTTTGAGATCTCTGTCTCGATTGTATAATAGGGATATCGAATCTGGTCTTACTGGCATACTTGTATTGCCATGTATGTGGTAAACACCTTTTCAACAAGGAACTTTACTGGACAAGAAAATAAGTTTTCCTCCACTGCTGAGAAAAAAGTAAGTTTGCGAATGCATTGACAACTCTAACCTTCATGATGAACGTTCTCGAGGCAACTCCAACCATGCCAGAACAAAGAAGCAGCCCAATCTTTCTGTCTCAAACTCTACATTGACCAAAATACACAAACCGTAAGACAACTTATAATAGTATTTTCCTAGTTACAACTAGAGAACGCCAAGTTGCTGTTATTGATACTTGTACATCCCTGTCCAAAAAAAACAACAAAAAGTTTTAAACGGAGGGAGTAATACTTGGTAGACTACTCAAATTGCAATACCAAAAGAAATGTATTGTACTTCTGTGTAAGTAAGCAAGTATCTACTATCTTCGTCATAAAACTCATCAGCCTCCATCAACTGATTACATCATCAACTAATTGGGAACTACTAATCATATAAAGTGCAGACATTTTCGCACGGGGTTTAAACATAACTGAAGGATGACAGAAATATGATACTGGTTTAAAATTAATGATTATCAGAAGATATGTACTCAAGAATTTCTCATTAACACTTGGCAAAAAGCCATCTAGCATAATATTGTACTGAAGTGATCAAAGCTACAAAAAACGCACACAAAAATAGAAAAATGAACAAAGCTCAATCGTTACTGACCTGTGCTCGCCCTTTGTTTAAGCAATACATATCTTTGTAGTGCTCCTGATCTGACCTTAGGTAGATTTACCTCCATTTGACTCACTGTTTAAGTTGGCCTAAATTCATTCCAAAACTCCAATAAGCATTGTACAAGTTCAATAAATTTCATGCGAAGGTCATCAAAGTAATATGGTACTGTACCTAATAATAAATTTCAACATGAGTACTGTGCCATAAACCGGATAAAAGATTTCATAGAAGGCATCAAGAAGATGCATAATTTACATTGTTAGCTCTATTACCAAGGCTAATATCTAAAGTTAGGACCTAACAAAGTCCAAAAAAGTTTCAGGGGAATTGACAGGGGGAAATTGCTCCAGCTACAGAGGGTTAGAACTCTTTAAGACTCAAGAATGTAGCTTGAGGAAGAGGTTCCTTCAAAGCATCTATTGTTTCTTTCTGTCCATACACACCAAAAAAATGCAAGCAGGATCATCTTCCACACTTTCCTGACGGGTTTTATGACCTTCCATGAGCTCCAGCTAACCAGTGCATCTTTAACACTACTTGGCACAACCCATTTTAGACCAAAAACTGAGATGAACATGTTGCATATTCCTGTGGCTACTTGACAATGAAGAAGATGTCTGTTGATCTCTAGGGTCTGGTGACACATGAAGCATCTGTTGACAATGTGGATTTTTCTCCTGATGAGGTTGTCTTGGGTGAGGGAGACTTCATGAAGGGCTAGCCATCTAAAACAAATCACCTAGGGGGATAACCTGGTTTTGCAGATTAACTTCCATTGCCAATTCACTAGCATTTTATTTTGAGCACGTAGTAAATTGTATGCTGCCTTCACAAAATATTTACCAATCGCTTTATCCCCCCAAATGAGTCTGTCAGGTGATTAATCACTGATTTGGACAACTCCTAGTCTCTCCAGTAAGCTGAGAAGGTCTTGTAGTTCCCAGTCTTGGAAGTTCCTTTTGAATTGAGAGTTCCAGCCTTTCAGGTATTGTCAGCTCTATCTTGAGAGATGGTTGAAGATTTGCTTGTGGCTATTGCATAGAGACTAGGAAAATCAGCTTGTAATGTTCCAGAACCTAACTTTTAATCAACTGCCCACCTTAAAACTTACAATTGAGATAGAGTTCCACCCCTAACTTGCTGATATACTACTTCCAAGGACCCACGCCATAAAGGGAACTAACAACCGTGGTGCTCCAGTGATTCGCAGTACCATGTTTGGCATTCACAACCCTTTCTCCGCAAAGCTTGATCCACTTGTCATATCTGCATAATCATTTCATCAACATGCTTTTGTTATGTATTGACAAGTCTCTAATTCCCAGGTAACCTTGGGACTTCTGATGAATAACTCTCTCTTATTTGTCACTCTTTAGCATTTTAAGGTCCTCTAAAAGCAAAATGAACTCAAACATTTATAATCGAGATCTTCTTCCTTGAGTGTACCTAACAATCAAATATCAAAATTAACATGTTTTTGTTATCTACAAATTTCCTTCTCAACTAATAAGTTAATCTGTTATATTGGAGTATGAGATATATAACAAGAATGGAATACTACACTCAATTTTGGAGCTTGGAATAACGGAGATTTCAGTGGCTTTTGTACAAAATGCAGAACATCTCCCTCCAATCAATTGAATCTACGATACCAATTTCTAACTAGTTGAAAATGTGTGCCAATAAAATTTGAAAGAGAGACGTACACACAATAACATACCCAGTCAAACATTTATAATCGAGATCTTCTTCCTTGAGTGTACCTAACAATCAAATATCTACAAAATTAACATGTTTTTGTTATCTACAAATTTCCTCCTTAACTAATTAGTTAATCTGTTATATTGGAGTATGAGATATATCACAAGAATGGAATACTACTCAATTTAGGAGCTTGGAATAACGGAGAAGTCAGTGGAGTTTGTACAAAATGCAGAACATCTCCCTCCAATCAATTGAATCTATAAGTTGACGCAATATCAATTTCTAACTAGTTGAGAATGTGTGCCAATAAAATTTGAAAGAGAGACATGTACACTACAATAACATGCCCCCTGCAATCCCACTAAGTGGGGCCAAGGTACGGTAGAGTGTACACAGACCTTACCACTACCTCGAGGAGGTAGAGAGGTTGTTTCCGATAAACCCCCGGCTCAAGTGCATCAAACTTAAGTACAAGACGAAAACAATAAAGAAGCATAGCAGTTATTAAGAAAGGCAGTGTAAAGTTTACAAGAAAGATCGGTAACATCAGCAAATATGTGATAATCGAAACACAATAAACCAAAGACATGTAAACTAATATTTTTATCATAATAATAAACGAAAGAAGCTGTCTGCAAGAAGATAATTCAGTCCAAATTACTGCCTCCGCCCATCATAATATTTTAGTTGGGGACATCATTACATGTTTGGCAAAATTTATGGTTCGTTTCAAATTATAACTTCCATAAGTTCTAACAATTCAAAATTATTTAACAAATCAAATTTAAACCTTAACATACTTCCTTACTATTGCTTCATCACATCCCTTATTCTTTTAGTAGCATATGTTTAGCGTCCTATCGGTTGTTGTCATATAAAATGGGGCAAAAGGAGTAACTTCTTAAATAAAATCATTAATGCATTAAAGAATATTATAATGAATTAAATACTGACCTCTTTGTTTAAATCGAAGTGAAATTGTCACAAAACCAACTAACAAAAAGATAAATATATCCAATTTGAGATAGTTGTAATCCTCTAATTTCAAAGTACATATCCAAATAAGATAACCAGATATCTACTAGTCAAATATATACTACAGAAAAAAGATGAACCATATACTCACCTCATTACAACATTTTTCACTAGCTATTATTTAAGAACAAAAATGTAAAATGTTTGACCTGTATGTTTCCCTAATATACAGTAAGTAGGCTTTTGAACATGATCTGGTTGAGATTTGGAAAAAGCAAAGGAAGTAGCATTTGAAGTTGAAAAGGGTATTTAGAAGTTGAAGTTGTGTTTGGGCATGGAAACAAAGTTGAAGTTCTGTGAGTGAAAACCTGAAAACTCCTAGAATGTATAATTCAAACTTCAAATTTTAAGTTGAAATATTGGACCAATTTGACAGACAAGCAGTTAATTAAAATGTATCTCCACGTAGTATTTCAAATTCTGGAACCAAAATTTATGGTAAAAACAGAGCCCGAATAATCAAGTTCTCTACAATAAAAAGGCTTAGTTTAGCAAATTTGGCATAGCAAGATCGTGAGTAAGTTGTGCAAGATTGTGAGAGAGTTGTCTTTGTCACACGTGCGCTTTGTTGAAGACTAGGGACATGGCAATTCACTATTAGTATATGTAGAAGTCAAAACTTATGAAATAGTCTAGAAGCACTTAAAGAATTGCCATCTTTGCTAAGTCACACCTATGTCACTGTTCTAGTAGACAAGAAGACCTAGCAAAAAGTCACATCTATGTCCTTCTAGTAGACAAGAAGACCTAGCAAAAATGTATTTTAATAAAAATTCAACATTGCAGTTTGAAATCGACTCACCAAAATCAGAATCTGTCACCAACAAATGTAATTCATTCATAATTATATCAAAGTACAAACTTTTAACAGCAGATGGCCAGAAACCATTACATCCCCAGGTTTAGATTCCAAAAGTGTGATAAAAGATGATTATGCTCAATTAGCAAGGGTTGGGAGACATGTGTTTTAATTTACTAGTTTGAGGCCTATGTCAAACGAACTAGGTCCAGTACATGAGTGGAGAAAAGTAAAGAGTGAGCCCATCATTCGCGAGTTTCCAAAGCTACATTGACCAAAGGGTTGGCTCGTGACTGATTTCTCCATCACCAAAAAATTGACTGCAACAACTCATCCATTACAAAGGAACTATCATCAACCAAGTTGACATCACACTTCCAAATTACCACTAACCAGCTCAACCACATCACAACTTTAAATGAAGCTTTTAAATGAATTTTGAACCACCTCTGCAACAAACTATATTTAAGAGACCCTCATCTATAATCAACTGCTTGAAGACAAACCATTGTAACTGTCCCATCATTGTCAACCTTACACAGCTACTACTTCCAAACCATCACGATATAAACAATCCAATCTAACAACACATCTCGTCACTGAAAATCACCCTTCAAATCTCCATTAATCTCTCCATTTCACTTGTTTAAGCATGGACACTAAGGGAGCGTTTTTTTAACAAAGACACTAAGGGGACGTTTGGTTCGACGTATTGCAGAAATTAATCACAGTACAAACTTTGTATTAGTTAGTTCTATATTTGGTTGACTTATACGGAAGTCAACATGGAATAACTAATCCTAGTATTAGCTACACGGGGATAAATCACCTAAAAGACTAAACTAACCCTGTCCAGTGAGTCATCCTCCATAACATACTTCCACTTCAACTCTGAAGACAACCCATTTCTATCTTTATTGCTCATTGTTCTACTTCAACAGACAACCCCACTATGATCTTGGGCACCAATTGGGTGTTTGTTTGTTTTAGTTGATTTTGTTGTTTGTATCTCATTGCTTTTTGTGTTTATTCGGGTCGAAGGAACATTGTGGTGGCTTTGGTGATTTGGGTTTTTTTTTTGTCCTCTTCTTTACTTGTTAATTATTCCTCCGCCATATCTGAGTCTCCATTTAATCATACATGTTTGTATTAAAAGATTCATTCACCAAAATACTCTTTCCAGGCAACATGATGTTGTTATTCTGTTAAGAAAGCAAGGGTACAACTTTTAATACATTAGACCAAACACCTGATAAAAAATAATCTCTACATTACAATCTCTGTATTAATAATCCCTATATTAGAATTCCTGACTTGTTTTTTAACCAAATGACCCCCAAGTCCTTACAGGACACACTAATCCTGTACACAGACTGAATTTCACAGATTCAATAATTCTACTCTTTGTATCACTAAGTGTAATTCATCTAGGACTACTAAATTCATAGCTCTAATCAAGATCTAACAATAACAACAACAGAATAGCAACAATCAATAAACAACATGCTATTGAAATCAAGAATAAACAATACTATAGTTCAAAAACAAGAACTACAACAAAACTAGTACTAATCAACATCTAACATTCTCCAACTTATCTTATTGATACAAACAAACCATATGTATCAGATTAAACAAATTGGACGCACAAGATGAATTACCAGAATTTATAGTTGTGTGACTATACTTAATGTGAATTCTGAACCATCACAACAAAGTCTATTTAATGAGATTCTTCTCTAGTATTCAACTGCTCATATCTCAAGACAAATAGTAACTGACCACTGTCAAAATTATGTGCATTATTCGTCTCCCTCAGAATTCAGAACACTTCAATCTTGAATAGCACAAGACATTGACCTATCAATACAGCCTGGTACTAAACACCCACTTTCAAAATTCAAGCTTATTCTCTCCATTTCAGCCTAAAGAAAAAGGGATTAATACTACTCATCAGTTCCACAAAAGTTCTCAATCAGGTATTATTTATTTTCAACATAAACAACTACTTATTAGCACCAATAGTACCAAACAGCCACAACACCCACGCACCCACCCAAAAAAGTAACAGGCGCAACAGAAAATTAAAAGAACAGCCAATGGTGCGGAGAATAGGGCCTGGTCCCTGCAGGAGAATTTAATCTGTATAAATCATACTTGATCAACTGTGGGCCTGAGGGTTAAAATTTACACTTGGAGGAATCTAGATTGCAGAACCACAAGCATAAATAGACAAGATTTGAGAAGAGGAGAAGAGGAAGAAACCTGGCGAGGTTAAGAGACAAGTGTGCTTAACTTCCCAACATCACTAAATGCATTGCCATCAAAAGGTCCCAGGAAATTCACTATCATCATCCCAAGCTGAAATAGCTCCAAACTCTCACCAAAGAAACACAAAAGTAGATTCATTTCCTACGCTTCTCCCCAAATCACATTTGAAGCATAATGGAGTCCTGAATTTTTCCGATTCACATGATCGTATGCCTTTTCAAGATCAAGTTTGCACAACACACCAAGTACTCCCTGCTTTATCTTTGAATCCATCACTTTGTTCGCCACCAACACTGCATACAAAATCCGTTTGCCCTCCACAAAAGCAATTTGTGAAGAAACGATCTCAGCCAACACTTAAGTCTTATAATCCATTGCGCTTGTAGCTCACTCCCATTTTAGGGATGATACCATTGAACGAGGCATTCTAACTCTTTTCAAATTTACTACTATGTTGGAACTCAGCAATAGAATTCATCACATTTATTTTGACTGTATTCCAGCAATGCTAATAAAAGCCAAAGAGAAACCATTTGGGCCCGAGCTTTGTGACATGCTCAACACTCCACCACTCTTTTTCCCTCTTGCTCCTCCATTGCCCTCTCCAACCATTCACCTCCCGTACGATTAGACTGAACCCTAAACTCCCAATAGTAGGCTCCCAATCCACTTTTTCTTTAAGCAATATTTCATAATAATCTACAACTGCCCCCTCTACCACTTCCTCCTTTCTCACATCGCTTCTATTTGCTACTGCTCCCCTGTGAAAGAATTTAGTATTGAAGTCCCCCTCCTTCAACCATAATGCTCTCTATTGATGCCTCCAACTAACCTCTTGGGTGGATGGCCATAATAGTTATCTAACCTGGGATTTGCTTTCCTCTCCTTCCAGGGCTCTAAGGCAAAAGAATACAAGCAATCATAATATTTTTCTAAGGTAGTCAGCTCATAACAGACTCGTAAAAGTGACTAGGCTCAAAGAAACAGCTTCACAAGATTTTAGGTTGATAATGACAATCTTCTGGAAATAACCTGTTACATAGTGTTCTATTTTCTGGAAGTAGTAGTAACATGAGATTCTTTGGAGGAGCAAAGCCATGTGATAGATCAGTGTCGAAAGCTTTGGTGAAAGCAATTTCAGATTCTGCTTCTCCACTCTCTGTTCTCTAAGATTTTACTGGTGATCCATCTTCATATCAAGGCTACTGGAGAGAGGAGGATTGGAAAAGTTACAATTCCTTGTGGTATTCCTACGGAAGCTTACCTTTCACCAGCCCAGGAAATGTGAAGAAAATCCTGGTCCAAAAAACAGTTAATCATCAAATCTGTCATCATCCTCAGCATCGGGAAAAGTAAATGGTTCACTGTCATACCCCACCCAATGTGGGACTTCCAATGTGGGTGCTAGACACCGGGTGGGAAACCAAACAAAAAAAACACCAACTTTCAGTTGTTTTATTTTCAGGGACGTCAACTTAAAATTAGTGTTGAAAGAAACAAAAAGTGAAGTGTTCTCCATCTCCTGTTGGTTTGAAGAAATTTGATCAACACTGTGAGAGCCTTGATCTGACAAACTTCTTCCATCATCATCACGATCCATAGGATCAGGCTCTACAATTGTCAAATGCATCAACATCCATATTTAGGCTGAATGACTCAAAAGTTTGTTCTGGTGGAATCTGTTCCAGCTGGCACCGGCATCTCTCCACCAATTTGACAAATATATGCCTCAGACGGGGCGATGTCTCATCCTTCTTGGGCATATTCAACATCATTTCTTCAACACATTCTATACTAACAGAGAAGGCCTATTAACAATCAATTGATAGTAGATCACATAAAAGAACCTTCCAGCATCTAAATGAAAGAATAACTCAAAACCACATACAATTCCAAAGCACAAACCTTTAGCAACACATATATCAATAAACTCTGATCTATATCATGTGGAATTGCTTCTGCTACAGACTTCCCAGGGTACCTCAAATGAACCAAAAAGGAGACGGCAATCCTTTGCACCACCTTCATCAACTAAGCTGATGTCTGATGATAAAGAGGATCTACAGCAAAAGCGGCAGTTGAATAGCCAAATGAACCATTTATAAAGTGAAAAGGGATAAATTCAGATGAAGAAAATATCAATGACAAGAAGTATGTATACCATCACGTTTCTTCACATTAAAAGAATTGAATGATGACTCCAATGTTGATAAAGGTGATGACTGCAATTTGTTCTCAAATTGGTTTAGGAACAGGAAAATTATTCTGCAAATTGTTATTTCTTAAAAAGAGAAAGAGTTTAAAACTTTCTTCCTTGCTCTTTAATGGGATGGCCTTCCTCCTGGTCATTATCAAGGAGAAAGCAAAATAATAACACAAATCGAAAGCAGTGGAACAAAATAAAGATGATTATATATAGGAATTGCACATTGAAATCGACCATGCCATAATTTTTTGTTTCGTTAGCTCAGGTTAAGAAAATTTAAAAAAAATCCTAAAACATATAGGAAAAATTGAAATAGATAATGACGCAAATTCCTGATCAACCATCATGAAAGAAAAAACCAACATCCATATACTTGCAAGTGCAATTATAACCTTATTAACTTCAACCAAAATTAAACATACAAAAAGGGTAAGTTTCTAACCTTATCTTGAGAAGAAACTCTGATATGAACAATGGATGCTGACTAAGGTGATACTTTTGATAACAATTTTAAAAAATCCTAAATCCATATTAGGAAAAATTGAAATAGATAATGACGCAAATTCTTGATCAACCATCATGAAAGAAAAAAACAACATCCATATACTTGCAAGTGCAATCATAACCTTATTAACTTGATCCAAAATTAAACATACAAAAAGGGTAAGTTTCTAACCTTATCTTGAGAAGAAACTCTGATATGAACAATGGATGCCAACTAAGGTGATACTTTAGATAAAAATTACAGATGAACATGTTGGGACAGAGCAGATGACTAGTTCTTTTAAACTGTGTGTTTATATTAAAGCCTAAGGGTTTCTTTTGAGGGGTGGGTTGGACTTTGGAGTAAAAGAAAGGAAGGAAATAGTAGCATCTCTTTTTTATAGATTAATTCATTTTTAACAACTGGTTATTGTGCTTTTTAAGACGGGATATTATCTCGTCAATAATGTTGAGCAAAAAATGGATTTAACGACCAAAGAGAATAGGTTGTTGTAAGCACATTTATAAAGATTTGATTCATGTCCCTTAGTTACGAAATTGTCGTTAAAAGTCATAACTACGTTCCCAAATTAAGATGGAATTTGTTGAAGTATCAAGATTATATTGATAAATTTCAACACGTCAACTGATTATTAGTGATTCTATCTAAATACGTAACGACTTATTTAGAAAAACAGTTCAATACTTAAAACTTATCAGCTATTTACAATCAGCTAATCCAAATGAGCTCTATGAGTCATCTTTAACCATTCCATTTTGGCTCCAAATCAAGATATCACCATACAATGCTTACGTAAAAGTAGTTGTGGGGGGGGAGGGGGGGGAGTTGAAGTGAATCAGTTTCCTCGATTTAGCAAGGATAAAGTGTGTTATCAAAAGCGAAAAGTACAAAAAAGCTCTAAGGTCTATTGGGCTTTAAGCGCAAATAAGTGTGGACTTTAAAGAAAAAAGGCACAAAGGGAGAAAAATACAAATATATATGCTTAGTCTAAGACTAATAACTTATAAGCATGAATGAAAATATATGAGCAAAGAAAACGAAAAATAATTACGATAAAGTGAAATATCAATTGTTTAGTGTCGTCTCTTTAGAAGAAGTTCATTGACAAGGAAAAGTATATTTTAGAACCTAGATGACAATATTGAAGCACATTAAGCGAGGCGAAGCGCTCAACATGTTTTAAAGCAAGCGCATCAAGGGCTCAAGTGCCCCTTTGCAAGGATAATTGTAGCATTTGTCAATATGCATTAACTAGTGCTAATCAATTACATGTAACTTTGTAGATAAAAGTTTTTCGTAACAATGAGTTTTATAGTCATATTTTTAATTGGTAACCGAGAAATTGGTCTGGAGCCAATCATTTGGGCTAACGTACAGTACAAAACTCGAAGATGATGATCTTACTTTACTCCATTTAAACACTAGATTTAGTTCAGTTGACTTAGAACTCAAACTATTGTATTAAATATAAGCCATTGAAGCATATGTGTATCAACGAACTTGTTATATGAGATTTTGTATTGGATCATATACTTATAATTGTATTTTGGTGATAAGAAAAGCAATTTGATTTATTTCTCTTCTAATTATGTGCTAATACATGATGTCTTTGAAATGTTTCGGTGGAAATGTGGACTTGGAACATTTAGCTTTGGTGTTATTTGACACCAAAGCAAAACATTCCAAGATTACATTCTCCACTGAAACATTTCAAAGACATTATTAGCACATATTTAGAAAAAATCACCAAAATACAATTAAGTAGATGAGTCAATACAACGGACAATTTCATCTTAATTCCTACGAGGCAAAATCTCATATACCAAGTTTGTTAGCACACTTATGTCTCTCAGTGGTTCAATCTAATAAATCATTATATTCCCAAGTTTAGATTCCAAAAGTGTGTTAAAAATGACTCAATTGACATGGGATTTGTATTTTAGTACACTAGTTAGAGTTTTACGTAAGCGAACTAAATCTAGTATTCAAACGGAGTAAAGTAAAGAGTAAGACCATCATCCCACGTTGGTCCAATGGGTTGGCTCCAACCCAGTGTTGTAAAAAACGTTGAAGCGTTTGCTTAAAGCCAGAAGCGAAGCAATAGGTTGTCACTCTAATGCCTTAAAGTGACGCAATAGTGAAGGCGCATGCGCTTTTTTCCAAAAATCGATAAGTGTGCTTATTAATTATAAAGCTAAAAAAACTCGATTTTAGAGATAAGCGCTAGCCAAGATTTTTTTTTATTTCAGTAAAAATACTCACGTAAATTTTACCATTTTCCCTCCTTTGTCGACTGCGGCTGGAATCTTTATAAAAATATTTATATTGGCTCTTCTTTTCCTGTTCTCTTTAAGTAGGATTATATTTACCTATTCTTATTCTGACAACTCTCTTGTTATTTCTTCTAATTTAAGATTCCTCTATTTGTAATGCTACTGTGTATGCTCTATTTTTGTTTTGTTGCCCTGTTTTGTGACAGTCATTGTTCTGTTTTTGCTCATAGGAAGTTGTATTTTCTTCTTCAATGCCTATTTCTAGATCTATTATTTACTTTTTTATCTAAGATTTGAAAGTATTGCTTAATATGTTACGCCTATTGAGTTCTTGTCATTGTTTTGTTTTTGCTTGTAGCAAGTTGTATTTTCTTATCAAATATTTATTTCTAGTATCTATTATTTACTTTTTTATCTAAGAATTGAAAGATTTACTTAATATGTTAAGTCTATTGAGTTCTTGATCATTTTTTAAATGACAAGGGAAACTCATTGCCACTATCCTTTGGGTGAGATCTTGATCATTTTTTTATGGCAAGGACAATCGACAGTTGCTACCATCGCTACCCTTTGGTGTGCACTCCTATGTAATAGCTCGCAAACCCACAAGAGAGGTAACCAGCACTAGGCAAGCTCGATGCGACGAGCTCGACCCAAAAGTCAAACCCCTTGCTTTCGCTGGCAAGGGGTTTCGGACATGAGACCTCCAATATGGAAGTCTCAAGCATAAACCACTGGGCCAGCCCGGAGGATTTGAGTGCTTAATCATGTATCTATGCATATTTAATATTTTTATTTTTATACTAAATAGTGCTTTGTTTGAAAAAAAAGTGTGTGCTTCACTTCACACTTCTCACTTCGATGAAGTGAGCCCTTGTCACTTTTTTTCATTTCCCACTTTTGCTCGATTCTCGATTCCAAACACTACTTCAACCACTTTCTCAATCACCAAGAAAATTAACTACGAAAACTCATTTGTCACAAAAGAACTCTCACCAACTAAGTAAAATCATTACTTCCAAACTACTTGTAACCAGCTCAACCACATCACAACTTTAAATGATGCATTTAAATGTTATTAGAACCACTTCTGCAACAAACAATATTTAAGAGATGATTATCGATAATCAACTACTTATATAAAGACAAACCACTGTAACCGACCCATTATTGTCAAGATATCACAGCTAATACTTCCAAACCATCAAGAGCCAAAAACTCTAATCTTACATCACAGCTCATCTCGTTGAACATTCACATTTCAAATTTCAGCTACTTCTCTCAATTTCATTTGGCTAAGCATGAACATTAAGTCCTCACAAGAAACACAAATCTTGTACACAAACGAAACTTCACAAATTCACTAATTCTACTCTTTGAACCACTAAGTGAACTCATCTAGGACTAATAAATTCATAGCTCTAATCAACATCTAATGTTCTCCAATGTATCTTGTTGATGCAATTAAACCATATATTCAGGTTGAAGAAATTGGATGCACAGCATAAATTACCACAATTTATAACTGTATCACCATGTTTGACGTGAATTCTGAACAACCATCACAACAAGGTTTACTTAAGCAGATTCTTGTCTAGTATTCAATAGCTCATCTAAAGACAAATAGTAACAAATCACTCACCATGACTGTCAAAATTATGCACATCCTTCTACTCCCTCACACTCCAATCTTGAATATTTACAAAACATTGAACTATCAATACAGTCTAGCACTAAACATTTTGATATGCAAGCTTCTTCTCTGAATTTTTAGCTGAACCACAAGGATGTTCTGATTTTCAATTCCCTATAGGAACACAAAATTTTGAAACAAAGAAAAAGCCTACGATGTAATTATGGGGAATCAAACTCAGATTTTCGTTGTGGTTTAAACCCACTAGACCAGAAATCTGATGATCCCACTCTTTGTATTCAATGAATGAAGTAGTCTAAGGACTGATTAATTTTAGTGTTGATTTAACATGTAAAGATTCCAAATTTACCTCACTGATCTAAATAAACAACAACTTCTAGTTTGAAAAGTAAAGTTGGGTTTAACAGGTGAACTACCAGTACTCAAAAGCTTCATGACCACCCTTACGTTTTTTATTGAGTTAAAGTCATGCAGACATATATGTTTAGGGACATAACATTAACCAAAATGAAACTCCTTTCAATTAAGTAAAGGATTGTACAGCATTTCTGAAATTAGAACACTACATCTAGGGAGAAAGAACCTCTAACCCAAAGAGAATACCACCAAACTTCTCGGTGTGAGCCTCATTGTCCGCTAAGTAGACCTGCTTCACCTTTTGAAACACATGCCAAGTCAACAAGCTATCTGAGCCAGCCTGATGGCTATTCCCAACTACGCGATTCAGCATGAGAGTTTCAGCAACCCGGTCCAATCCGCCATGAAGATACGGGAAAAACATCATCATATACTTCACATCATAAACCCTTTTACCAAAAAACACCTTCATCAACTTCAGAAACTCTGTCAACCCACCTGGCAGGTTACAGCCAGTAATAACCTTGATCAGGTAGCCAAAATCATAAGCACTGTGAAATGTCACATAAGAAACAGCTTCATTGCAAAGCAGCCCAGAGGACATCATCAATTCAGCAAACCTTGTGGTATCAGCACCACGAGCACGCGTCTTCTTAAAATTCATCCCGTGATCACGGAGCAACTCAATGGATTCCGGTGCATGATCATCATGCAACACATCAAAATCACGGAAGTTGAACTCCCAGATGAAACCATAACCACAGCCAAAGTCCGGCAGGTTACCGTACACATCAGTCAGAGTGATACCCACCTGAATCAGCTTAAGAGCATCAACATTCGATTTCAGATTGTTGTAGAGCTCAATTGGGTTCTTAGCACGTATATCCGACCGATATATCAGACCAGGGAACTCTGTATCCATTGAAACAAAAGGAAAACGGTCGACCAAGCCACGGATCAACGAAAACTCAGACTCCAGATTGTTCGCCCAAACCGAACGGACGAAAACAGGTTTTTTCCCGGCGGCGAACGGTGGAGGTGGTGGGGTGACAATGCCGGAGAAAGCCATGATCGAGATGATCAAAAAGCTAAGTGAATTGGGGATTTTGGGATGGTAGGGTTAAAGAGGTGATCTCTCTATATATATAGAAGAAGAAAAAAAAGAGGAGTTACGCTCCGAGTGTTTGATATTCATATTAAAATTTGACCGATTTTAATTCGAGTTATGAATAATCAAAATTAATAATTAACTTTTTAATGGACTACGCATTTTACACTTAATGTTAGTATTTTGAGATGAGGCTCGATTAATTACGATAAGTATCTAGAATGTTCTACAATCAAAGATTGAAAATTGAAATTTTTCATGAAATAATGAATACTGACGAGTTTTATTTCGTGTTTTGAATAAGCAATTTTATAATCCAAGCTAATAATTAACGATTTTAATGGATAGTGAGATTTTCATGTGATGTTGGTATTTCGAGATGAGGCTCAATTAATTACGATGAGTGTCCAGAATGTTCTATAATCAAATATTGAAAATCGACATTGTTCATTAAACAATGAATACTTCATAGGATTTGACTAACTTTAATTCATGTTTTGAATAAGTAATTTTGTAATCCAAACTAATAATTAACGCTTTTATTGAACTACTTGTTTTTCATGTGATGTTGGTATTTTGAGATGGGACTCAATTAATTACGATGAGTGTCCAGAATGTTCTATAGTCAAAGATTGAAAATCGACATTGTTCATTAAACAACGAATACTTTATAGGATTTGACTAACTTTAATTCGTGTTTTGAATAAGCAATTTAAAATCAAAGCTATTAATTAACGCTTTTAATATACTACGTGTTATTCATGTAATGTTGGTATTTTGAGACGAGGTTCGATTAATTACGATGAGTGTCCACAATGCTTCATATCAAAAATTAAAAATTGACGTTGTTCATTAAATAATGTATACTAACTAACTTTAATTCGTGTTTTGAATAAGCAATTTTATGATCAAAACTAATAATTAACGCTTTTAATGGACTACACATTTTACATGTAATGTTAATATTTTGAGATTAGGCTCGATTAATTACAATGAGTGTCTAGAATATTCCATAGTCAAAGATCGAAAATCAACATTGCTCATTAAACAATGAATACTTCATAGGATTTAACTAACTTTATTTTGCATTTTGAATAAGCAATTTTGTAATCAAAACTAATAATTAACGCTTTTAATGGATTAAGCGTTTTACATGTAATGTTAGTATTTTGAGATTAGGCTCGATTAACTACGATGAGTATCCAGAATGTTCTATAGTCAAAGATTGACCTGTTCATTAAAAACTGAATACTATATATGGCGCCCATTCCGCGCGCCGTTCTGGTTCCGGAATTAGAACGCCCTCTCCTTCCTGAATATCCAAAGGAGAGCGGAGCTTCAACACCGTCTGTCCTTCTATTTTATCGAGAGGAACGAGCCCAGGGACGAACTTTAGTTCGTGTTTTGAATAAGCAATTCTGTAATCAAAACTAATAATAAACGCTTTTAATGGACTATGTGTTTTCCATGTGATGCTGGTATTTCGAGATGGAGCTCGATTAATTACGATGAGTGTCCAAAATGCTCTATAGTCAAAGATTGAAATTTATCATTAAACAATGAATACTTCATAGGATTTGACTAACTTTAATTCGTGTTTTGAATAAGCAATTTTATATTTAAAACTAATAATTAACGTTATTAATGGACTAGTTTTGATCTCTATTACTCGAATTTCGTTTTTCATTATTAAAATTCGGAAAAATGCACAAGTACCTCCAACCAATTTCCAAAATCTTAGTGGCACACTTATACTATCCTAAGATCCTACTAACCCCCCCCCCCCATTTATCCCTTTTCGGCTTACATTGCACTACCTTCTGGTCCCATGTGTGCTGATAAATTTTCAATGACAGTGTCACGTAAGTCGAAAAGGAGTTGAAAATTATTTATAAAATAAGTTTTGGGAGGTAATAGGACCTTAGTAAAGTATAAGTGTGTCTGAAATTTAGAGCATAGGTTTGGGAATACTTGTGCATTTTCCTTAAAATTTAGAAGTAAAAATTTTTGATCGAAACTACTTTTTACAGATTCGGTGAGAAGAAAATATTTCAATTAAGAATTTTTTAATATCAAATCAAATGAAAAGTAAATAAAAACAAAATTTCTAATTAAAAGTAACACAATGCAAAATGTTGTAGCTAAAAATTCACAATATTATTTTAGAGGGAAAAGGGTCAAAATTAGCCCTCAACTTTGTTTTGTTATTTGACTTTACCTCTACCGTTAAAAATAAGTTATTTTTACCCCGCCGTCAATAAATTAACACATATACCCCTCCTTGGATGGAAAATCTCAAATTAATTAAAATTGTCTAATTTTACGTAAATTACCCAATTTTAACCCGACCCCACTCACTTAATAATATAACCATTTCTTTTACCCAAATCAACTTTATTTTTCCACCACCACCAAAGCAACCACCCTCTCCAAGATATCCTTCACCACCATCGTCGAGAGTGATGAAAGATTTATATTTTTTTGCAATTGGTGAAACTTTCGGAATAGGATGTAATTAACTCAAATGAATGAGATCTTCTGTACTTTATACATTTAAATACTACAAAAAAATATATTCACTCAATATGGATTGATTAATAGAAGGGGAAATTACGCGGTTAAGCAAACATATACTAGTTAATTAACTAATATAACCACAATTTGCATTAATTATAATTCGAAACTTACTTCTAGCTACAATTACATTCCTTTTTCTCACTTCTCTCCTCTCTCCCCAAATCTCGCTCTCTTATCTTTTCTTCTCTTGTCTTTTTCAGTCATCACCCCCTCTTCTCCCTCCTTAGTCTCTCTCTCAATTCTCTTCTGCCATTCTCTATCGCTTTATACAAAGACAAATTATTTTTTGGTAAAATTACAGAAATACACACATTTTATTTCACCTATTTTTATCAATTCTCATTACTTTTAAAAATCTCCAAAATTTCTTATTTCTTTATTGTATTCGAGCTACATATTAATGTATGTGATTCATTATTTAACGTATCCGAACTATATATTATGTATTCGAGCTAGTTTTTAATGTATTCGAACTACATATTAATGTATACGAGCCAGTATTTAATACATTCCAACTATATATTAATGTATTCGAGCTTTAATTATTGTATTCATTTTTTTATTTTAAGAAATTAATGTAATTATAAACTTAATCGAGATAGATTGTAATTTCATATCAAAACAACGACATATATGTAATTTAAGTTTCTTTTGTTAGATTATTTATTGGGCTTTTTTAGCCTTTAAGTTTTGAATGATTTTTTTTATTAATAAATAGGTCTTAGTCCAAATTTATTTATTTTTCAAAAAAATAAAAAATCCCAAAATGTTATGTTTTTTTTCAACTTTCTTCCCTCTTCACCAATTCTTCTCCTTTATCTCATCCTCTCTGCTAATTATTACTTTCTGTATGTGTTCTTGATTGATGGAACTCGATTTTCTCTCAGTACATATGCGTAATCCACCGTTTATTAGAGGTATTTTTTCAAGTTTTTATCATATGCCTAGAACTCGTTTGATAATATGTCCCAATGAACCTCAACTAGGTAAAGTTCCATTCTTTACATCTATTCGTAGCTGTTTCTCATTTACTGCTGTAGTACAAGTAGTAGAAACCCCAACAGTTGAAAAAGAAACAATCTTTCAAGATTCTGATGGGGGTAGGAGGTTGAGTACTAAACAGTTGAAATATGGTGCTAAGAAGAGGTTAGTTGAAAAAAAAACAATCTTTCAAGATTCTGATGGGGGTAGGAGGTTGAGTGCTAAAGAGTTGAAATATGGTGTTGAGAAGGGGTTAGTTGAAAAGGGCGATGGTGGGTTTTTGATTAAGGAGAAGAAAAGGGGGATTAAATGGTATTCTGAAATGTTTAAAGATTATGCTGGTAAGTTATGTTTGAAGGAAGGTAAAGCTTTACATGGTGAAATGATAAGGAGTGGGGTTGAACCAGATTCATATTTATGGGTTTCTTTGATTAATTTCTATTCGAAATGTGGGGATTTAGTTTTCGCGGAGAATGTGTTTGATTTAATTCCAAGCAGAGATGTTGTGTCGTGGACAGCGTTGATAGCAGGGTTTATAGCTCAAGGTTATGGAAGTAAAGGGATTTGTTTATTCTGTGATATGAAGGGAGAAGATATTAGGCCTAATGAGTTCACTTTGGCAACAGTTTTAAAGGGTTGTTCAATGTGTTTAGATTTGGAGTTTGGGAAACAACTACATGCTGTAGTTGTTAAAGGTGCAGCCTTTTCAGATGTTTATGTTGGTTCTGCTCTTGTTGATTTGTATGCTAAATGTTGTGAATTAGAATCGGCTGTTAAAGTTTTCTTTTCCATGCCGGAGCAGAATTCAGTATCGTGGAATGTTTTACTTAATGGGTATGTGCAGGCTGGTCAAGGAGAGGAGGCTCTAAAATTGTTTTTGAAGATGTCGGATTCAGAGATGAGGTTTAGTAATTATACCCTATCTACCATTTTAAAGGGTTGTGCGAATTCAGTTAATCTGAAAGCTGGTCAAGTTATCCACTCAATGTTGGTCAAAATTGGGTCTGAAATCGATGATTTTACAAGCTGTAGTCTTCTAGATATGTATAACAAATGTGGTCTTCAAGATGATGCCCTGAAAGTGTTTTTAAGGACCAAAAATCATGACATTGTGGCATGGACTGCAATGATCAGCGGACTCGATCAGCAAGGACAGAAGAGAGAAGCTATTCATCTTTTTTGCTTGATGATGCATTCAGGTTTGAGGCCTAATCAATTTACGCTGGCTAGTGTTGTTAGTGCAGCGGCTGATTCGGTGGATATAAGGTGTTGCAAAAGTATTCATGCTTGTGTTTACAAATTTGGTTTTGACTCAGAAGAGTGTGTCTGTAATGCATTGATTGCAATGTACATGAAATTTGGTTCAGTTTTGGATGGGTATCGTATATTTTCTTCTTTGAGTAATAGGGATATAATTTCGTGGAACTCACTTTTGTCTGGATTCCACGATAATGAAACTTCTTATGAAGGGCCTAAAATCTTCAGGCAGTTGCTTGTTGAAGGTTTGAAGCCAAATATTTACACGCTCATCAGCAATTTGAGATCTTGTGCAAGCCTCTTAGATGCCAGTCTAGGGAAACAAGTGCATGCCCATGTAGTTAAAGCTGACCTTGGTGGCAATATATATGTAGGAACTGCTCTGGTTGATATGTATGCCAAGTGTGGGCAGTTGGATGATGCAGAATTGATCTTTTATAGATTGAGTGAAAAAGACGTCTTCACTTGGACAGTGGTCATTTCAGGTTATGCGCAGTCTGATCAAGGAGAAAAGGCTTTCCGATGCTTCAATCAGATGCAAAGGGAAGCTATTAAACCCAATGAGTTCACTCTTGCTAGCTGTCTAAAAGGTTGTTCACGTATAGCCAGCCTAGACAATGGGCGGCAGTTGCATTCCGTGGTAATGAAGTCTGGGCAGTTCAGTGATATGTATGTAGCTAGTGCGTTGATTGACATGTATGCAAAATCTGGGTGTATCAAAGATGCCGAGTCTCTATTTCAGAGCATGGAATCTAGTGATACAGTGTTGTGGAACACAATTATATATGCCTACTCCCAACATGGACTAGATGAAGAAGCATTGAAAACATTTAGAACCATGTTAAGTGAAGGTATTCCGCCTGATGGGATTACGTTTATTGCTGTCCTCTCTGCATGCAGCCATCTGGGCCTGGTCAAAGAAGGAAGAAGGCATTTTGACTCAATAAAAAATGGTTTTGGTATCACTCCTTCAATAGAACATTATGCTTGTATGGTTGATATCCTTGGCCGTGCAGGCAAATTTACTGAAATGGAACACTTCATTGAGGGTATGGCGCTTGCTCCTGATGCCTTGATATGGGAGACTGTTCTTGGAGTCTGCAAGGCTCATGGGAATGTGGAATTGGCTGAGAAAGCTGCAAACACACTTTTCGAAATTGATCCAAAAGCAGAGTCAAGTTATATATTGTTGTCCAATATATATGCATCAAAGGGTAGATGGGCTGATGTTTCGACGGTTAGAGCACTAATGTCCAGGCAGGGTGTCAAAAAGGAACCTGGTTGTAGCTGGATTGAGATTGATAATCAAGTTCATGTCTTCTTATCTCAGGATGCTTCACATCCTAGGTTAAAGGATATCCATAAAAAGTTGGAGGAGCTGACTTCGAGAATTACTGCCGCAGGATATATTCCAAACACAAACTATGTGCTTCATAATGTCTCTGACAAAGAAAAGATAGACAACCTTTCACATCATAGTGAAAGGCTAGCTCTTGCATTTGCTCTCATGAGCAGCAGTAGGAACAGCACTATCAGGATCTTTAAAAATCTTTGCATCTGTGGAGATTGCCATGAATTTATGAAGCTGGCGTCAATTGTTACAAACCGAGAAATAGTTATTCGTGATATTAACCGCTTCCACCATTTCTCTCACGGAACATGCTCATGTAAGGACTATTGGTGATTATTGACTGGCTGACCTAGTCAGGCAAGACTATTCATGTTCCGCAGCTGCTACAAGTCAATAGTGCTCAACTGAAGTTCTAAATGCAAGTCATGACATGTCAATATGAATATATTATTGACCTCGACAGGTTATGAGGTATTTACCAAGCTTTAGTAGCTCTTGCACTTTACCCCACTTTATGGGACTACACTGGGTATGTTGTTATTGTAGCTCTTGCATTATTATGTAGAGTATAAATGTAAGAGAAAGATCTTCGATCTATATTCATCTATTTCTATACGGTTGTTGTGGTTACTCTTACTTGTACTCATCTTTTCCTTGTTATTTTTACCTTCTCTTTGCACTCTGATCTGAAAGATCTGTTGACTTGACTTTTGCAGTTAATCACCAAGCTACAGTGAAGTAAGCATTTAATTGTGAGAATTTTGTTTTTCTTTTGTTCTTATATAATATGTAGTTTCTCATACTCCTTTTTTGAGCTGATGGTCTATCGGAAACAGCCTCCCTACCCCACAAAGGTAGGGGTCAGGTCTGCATAAACCCCACTCGTGGCATTATAAAGGGTTTGTTGTTGTTGTTTGTTATATAATATGCAGTGTATTATGTCGTCCTCAGTTTCATAATATGCGCTGTCCATTCCAATTCGTCCTAGGAAATCAAATTTCTCTGTTGTTTGCTGTGGAAGTATCAAGCTGTTTTCGCTAAGTACCTTTTCTTAACTTTTGAAGTGACCAAAGTTACTAGATCCAGAAAAACTTTGAAACTTCTATCTAGCATATCTTTACATTTGTTTGATTGAGTTTCTGCCAAGGCTAATGTTTTCCTCGGAAGATCTTTCTAATTCGAACAGTAACTTTTTTTTATTACCTACAGGACTAATTGCTGGATTGATAAGTTTCCTGAAGGAAGGTTAATCGATTTCTGAGCACTGAAACTAGGTGTGTCAAAGCTCAGATAAACTTTCTGCAGAAGGTGAAGAAACTGCTCAAGTAAATCATAGGTACACTCACTTTTCCCTTTTCTCCTGTTCCATGTTTAATCTATACTCCACTCATTTTGGTAGCTGCAGTAATAACTGTTATCCGACCATTTTCTGTCATCCACATTGTTTATTCTATGAAATGTCTCTTAATAAAGTTCTTCTTCGATCAGAAGGATGAAAAAATGAGTTAACTGATATTTCTATATCATGAAATTTGGAAAAGGATATAATGATATCCAATTTGTAAGCTTAAGGCTAGTTGTTTGGTTAACCTTTTTAGCTGGGCTAACTCTTCCCCTGTAAATAACTAAAATCACTACCTGGATTTTGTCAGCTCCTTAGCTATATAAATTTTTTGTTCTTACTGAGCTAACAGATCCTCCTTTGTATCGTTGCATCTACTGGATGTCTTAATGAAATCTCACTTACTTATTTCCAGTAGTAAACAAACTCCCAACTAAATATTGCACAATATTTGCCCAATCATGACTTTGAGATACTGCAAATTGATTATTCATAAATTATAATGCTTTCCGTTTTAAAAGATGAAAAAGAGAGTTCCTGCTCCCTTTTCTGATAGAGTTGTAGAGCTAAACGGGCTTTCACCTCTTCTTAACCTGAAATGGCTGAAAAGCTAATTGGATCATGGAAAAAATCCACCCAATTCCCTTTTCATGTATGGTTACGTGATGCCACCCAAAAGAGAAGCAGTTTATTAAAGGTTCTAAACTCAACGATGGCAACTAAACACTAGTGTTAGCCTGTTAGGAATAAATAAATTGTGTCCTAATCTCAGACTGGTATGTGATGTGTTCAAAATACACTTGATCCGGAGATAATAGAGTTGTCAAACGAAAACGCGTGGAGTAAATAGCTGAATTTCGTTGAGTCCTATGCCATATCTTAAATGTGTTACCAGTACATTATAATTATCAATACATAATCAATCTGGATCATGCAACATAAGGTTGTAAAATGACATCATCACCTCTTCTTCTACTCTGATTGCTCCATCTTTTTCCCGTCTTCTTCTACTGTTTCTCCACCCTGAACTTCATTTATTCTTCTCCAACTACTGATGCAGACTCTTTTTTCTGCTTATTTGCCTCTATTTTTCATTGTTTTTTAAAATCGAAGTTTGTATTTTTATTTATAGGAGGTTCAAAGTTCCGTATCACACAGGATCTACTCAGACTGCAGTAGAGCCTCTGGGAAAGAAGAGCAAGAGCATAAGGATATGCTGACGTGCCTCGCAAAGTAAGTTCGATGTGCTTGATGGTAGTCACAGAATAGGCAAGATGGAAGAAATATCACCTCAAATGTAACTCTGACGGGATCTAATCTACCAAATAACTTCTAACAAGCTGGGAAACGAGGGATAAAATTCCAACAGGAATTGGAAAATGTAGGTTTGAGAAAACGATACAATTGGTTAACTCCGCCTAGGGACTGTATTGAAGCTTCAAGGATGGTTGATCCGTTGTGTTATTAGGTGCCAAACCAGTAGCCCTGCTGTTGCACCTCACAAGAAGGCCAAGAGAGAGTCCCTCTTTAAGCATGGTGAGTAACCATGGTTTAAATAGTACTTGTTTGAGTTTATCATGTTCTCTTAAATGAGTAAACATTAGTTTAACTTGATGCAGCTATATTTGCTAAAAATGTTGTAAATCTCAGATGTTGGCAAAAGGCAATTGCAATGCAACAGTGTATAACTATTGAGTTTTTAACACACATAGCAAAGTTTGGTCCTTTTTCTTGTTGACATTTTCACCATCTTATGCATTGTTCTGGCCTTTTTCGCCATTTTCACCGCGATAGGCATCGTTCAACTGGATTACACAAGCATATGTAACGAATTTTCTGGGCTGCTTTTATTGATGATGAAATATCTGTGTTTCTCTAGTCTCAACAGTGGCATAATTTTGAAATTGTCAGTATTTCTTAAATTGAATTGATCAGGTCATGTAGGAACAAGGTTCAAGTCTATCGATCTGCACTCCACTGCTATCGTCATGTACATGGTACAACAAGAAGAGAATTAGCAGAAATCGAAAGGTTTTTATGGGCTAGATATGATCTTTGTAGAAAAAAAAGGAAATATTTCACATTGAAACTAGACAAGTTGTGAATTTTACCAACTTCCCTAGGAGAAATCTTCTTCAAATGGGGGTCTTGACCCATGCTATGGTTAAGTTGTTTAATAAAATGAGAAAATGTGTACGGAACGACAACAATAGCAATATATCCAGTGTAATTTCATACAGTGAGGTTTGAATAGAATAAGGTGAGCGTGTGTATACAGATCTATCCCGTCTTGAATTCTGTTATATAAATTTCCGACTTTGCAATAGATACTACTCTCTATTTATACTCTATTTTGTTTTAGAGGTGCTAATACAAAATGGTAAAGAAAGGGTATTTTTGAGTAAAATTAACCTGTTTTAATGCATTTATTTTATCCAATCAAGGATAAAAAAAATTATTTAGAATTGTTCCTATTAACACTTTTACCAACTTAGCTTGATATAAAAGCACCTCTTCAGAATTAATATTCCTTGGTCCCATACTTTGTTCAACCAAATATAATTTTGAATAAATGCCAACCAAATTAATAGCCCTAGGACATAAATATCGAATAACTTTGTTCCATCGAGACATAGGTAAAAAGAAATGTGTTTCTAGTTAGCTGTTCGAAAAAAGGTGCCAACACCATTTTGAATTTAGTGTAGGGAATAGTTGGTTCCTACAACAACGATGTATTCAGTATAATTGAAACGATAGAAAAAGAATAACAACCAATATCACCCCTACATAGGATGACATGAACAAATCGAGAACTAGTCCAAATCAACTGCAGAATTTAAAGAGTTATCGTTCATTTCACTCCAAATGAACGAAACTCTCCTCCTTTCTTTGTTAACAAAGATGGAAAAACTGCAGGAGTATCAACTATCTGTTGTGCAACATGCCAAGACAAAGGATGAAAACACCAAGGACAAAGATGATTCAGACAGCAAAAGAAGCGATTGACGATGATTGGGATAGCACAAGAACCAGATCCATTAATCAAACAGCAGCAAGCATAGACGAGAGTTTAGAAAACGAAAAGTAGAAGGGGGTACACAATTGTGAGGTAAGAGGAGAAAAGCCTCTTCAGGCATTCAACCCCTTTACATTTTAATTCCCAACGTGACAACACAGCGGTACAATTTAGCACATAGTTGACAAGACCTATATGTTATTGCCCTTAACACTAGAAACAGGTGCCTTCGGGTGGCTGAACTAGCTTACGGTTGTGGGGAGAAGCCATTTCCTTTTTCAGTTGAGTCAGTATGTCTTCCATAGTGTACTCTCGCTGCCAATTTGCAAGCAAAGCAAACTTTTTTGGCTCCACCTGCACATTTTATACGATGGAGGGAATTGTCAACAACGATTTACTGATTGAAAAGACAGGCATGCCACTATAAACAACAACAAAAACATATTACATTTGGACAGTATACAAAACATCACAGAACTAATATTATTGCAGAATTTTAAAGCATCTTTAATGTGACGAATCTTAAGCACCATTTTGCTAGTGGCTTCATATTTGTCAACAGTTCTAACTTTCACAATCATGCAAACACCATCTACCAAAGAAATAGAATGTTATCCAAGATCTTAAGCTGCAGACACAAAAAGTTGTTGGAACAAAACATCGTAGCAACATGCATTAAGGAGAAAGGTAATCTTGAAAGAACGTTGTTGAGAATTTTGGGAGCAAAAATACCATTGAAACTAATTTGGAATATTCAACAACAAGAGCCACACCTACCTACTACTCAGACTACTACAACTTTTTGATAGAGACTTTGTCTGCATTTCAAGGAACATCTTTTTATTCCAGTGAATAAAGCATTTAGTTAGTACCTCCTGTTGGATACGAATCCTATGAGGGTATCTGGTGTTGCTCCACTTTTGTTTTTACAAGTTCCATTCTACATGTAATACCATTAAAAATATACTTGCAGTGTTGAATTCAACCACGGATGACAAAAGTTCAGATAATTAAATTATTTTTAGCATATGAGCGACGATTCTGAAGATGCAAATTGTCACATAATAATTGCTTGATAACAAGAGCTACGATTCAAGCATTACAGCAATGTGTTGCTTACCACTCCTGTCTCATGGTTGACACATGTCATGTTAACTCGAGAGTGGAAACGCACACTTGGTGGCTTCTCCGGATAATCCTTGTCGCAAAATAGCTTCAACTGATAAATACGGCCTTCATGCACAGACTGGAAAAGAAGTAAGTTAGTCTTTAAATGTGAAAGACATAGGAACCATCAAATTGCATATAAAGTAACACTCTTAGGACTAGTGGACAAGCAAATCTGTAGTCCAGGAAATTCATCAACCCATTAGCACAGGTTTAACAGTCTGACAAACAAAGGGAGTATATAAATTCTAAGTAGAAAAGTGGCAGTTCATGTCTTCATGCATTCCTCTGTGAAACACAGCTAAGTGGATTTCATGCTTAAGGGACATATTGAAGAAATGATCGAATAAGTAGAAACAATTTCTAGGATATGCATTTCATGTTATTTGTTATATCCAAATAAAGAGATGGTAGGAAGTAAAAAAGAGAAAAGAACCCGTACATTGTGAGGACCAATAATGGTGCCAGTCCAAGAACGCATATAAATATCATCTCCATCATCCATACCATAGCTCACTGTCCCATCTCCAATACCCTTCTCCCCGCGTTCAAGTTCCTCCAGTAATCTGAAATTGCGAGGGACTGAAAAGAAATTGAAATTTTGGTTAGTGAAATCTTCATAAAGAAAATAAAGACCAGAGCTGGGTAAAAGCTTCAAACTCCAAACAAGATTGTAGAATCTAAATAGAACAAGATTGTAGAATCTAAATGGAAAAAAGAACAATGACATTGTTACGCATTTCACTCCAAGGTAAAAAGATTATAGTAAAAAATCCCAGGTGCACTAAGTTAAGAACCCATTCGAACATGAACTAGCACATCAAACAGTCAATGGTATGCTGACTTTAGGTCTACGAGTTGCTGGGAATCTTTTGACCTTGTGTAAGTTTTATAAGCCAGTAGAAATATAGAGAACTTCTGGCTTTTGAGAACCTAAATTACTGAATATTGGTTTGAGATGGATCAAAATGGAGTGACATGGATAGTAAGGATTCATATAGACAATTGCAACTAGCTCGGTATTGAGGCATAGTGGTTGCTGTTTGCATAAAAAACGGAACAGTGACCACCACGATGCAGCAAAAGGGATAGTGGTTTGTGCAACTATTGAAGCTTTGGAAATTAAGTTAGTCCTGCAACTACCCTATCTGTGCATGAATGGGCAGAGAAGCCTAAATCATCATCATCTTGTTCTTCTTCAAACTGACGTTAAATTGAGCATTAGTTCTAAATCACAGTTCCATGATATAAAGAAAGGCAGAACAGAGATGTGTAAGCCATATTTTCCAAAGAGCAATCGATCCACAACTTAGCAAGTTGCAGTAGATTGACCAGAAACTCTAAAAACTATAACCAACATATGACAAAAAACAGGGATTAGGATACAAGCAAAGTAACAACATTAATTTCCACCAAACTGCAAGGCATAAACCCTCATGTACTTGGATATATGAAACCAAAGAAATAGTCATCGCTGTCTTTCATTGAAGGCATTAGATCTGGAAGACCATATAAATAGCTTGGGTTTTCTCAATAGACCGAAAACTCTCTGAAAACACAACTTTCCAAACCATAACATCTACCTCCATATTCAAGAATCTAAAGCACAAAAGAGGATTTAAAAAACTCATCTTGATGACACAATAATTGTCATAGGTATTTCGGAAACAACGTCTCTACCTCCACGAGGTAGTAAGGTCTTCGTACACTCTACCCTCCCCAGACCCCACCTGTGGGATTTCAGTGGATATGTTGTTGGAAGTAATTGAATGCAGCTAATTTGAAAACAAGCAAAAACAAAACCGAACACACAACAGAGACTACTTCCTAGTTAATCATAATTAGAGAACCACAGATTAAACTCCCACAAGCCAAAGAACACATCAAACACATTGATTGAACTCCACATTCATAAATCTATACATTGATTGAGCTCCACATTCATGAATCAAAACCCACAAAAGGAATAAAAAAAAAACCATCTTGATGCTACAATCATTGTCAAATTTGCAAAATAATTCACCCCATCAAACTTGTTATCTAATCGAATCAATTAACAAGGCAGTTCCACAGTGAAAACAACTATACAAAAAGTCCTAATCAGCAACAACTAAGACATTTGATTAAAACCCACAAGCCAATAAACACATCAAATACAAAACATGCATAAAAAAACAAACCCATAACCAGATTTGAAGGGAAAATCATGAAAATCATAATAAAGATCAAAAAAAAAAAGAAACAAAAGGGGTTATGGGGTTTTCAAAAAATTGAACTCACCCACAACACTAGATCCTCCTGAACCAAGCGTCATGGCTGATTGATGCTTCAGATGATTCTTTGGGGTTTATACAAATATCGATTTGATCGACAAAAAGAAGAAAAAAACCCACACTGAGATATTCTTGAAAAATCGAATGGAGGGTTCAAGAGAGGCAGAAGGGAATAGAAGGGGCAAAAGTATAAAAAGGGGATAAAATAGATATATGATTGGTAGTGGGTAGGAAAATGCAATTGCTAAAAAAAAATCTCACAATTTTCGAGGAGTCTCGACGTA